ACAGAGCAGTTGAACGCTATATAAAAGTGCCAGAAATTTTAATAAACGAACGCGAATGAGGCTGCACCGAGTACACTTTTTGAATAAACGAACGGTAAAGTCATGCTCGGAGAACTCAGACCAAAATAACGAACGCACGGTTTGCATACCTCTACCTACACGGGGCTGCGTCGATAACGTCGAGTAGTTGCATATTTACATCGTTCATTAGACTAGACCAGTTGGATTAGTAGGACAAACGCTTACAGCCCTAGAACCGCTTTTACTAAACCACCCAGTAGGCAACGAAATTGCTCTTCTGTGCCAGACGCCAAATAATCTTGATTCACGGATTGCCCGTTCTAGAAACCCGACCGACCAACTTCGGATCCTTTATTGGACCTCTTTAAATCAGGATGGCTGGAGGAACTGCAGACACTGGTGCACAAACACCAGCTACCACCACATCCGTGACAACAACTCACACTACGAGTCCCTCATCCCCTATTGGCACACCGACACCTACAACCGTTAACATTAACTTACCTGATCCGTATGCCAGTGACGTACGAGTGAGTTGGGTATACCAGTTTAAAAAGGACGACTTGCTTATAGAACTAAACAAATTTGGATTAGATACTTCTGGCACTGTGGATATTTTAAGGAAAAGACTCATTAACTTCATTCGGTTAGGAAAAGCTACACCAGCACCGACCAGTCAAGGTTTTCTTTTCCCACCTCCTGCCCCAAACAGTGGTAATACTTCCTGCCCGACATCTAGTACGACTCCGGCTGTTACCACCCCGATACCCGCCATCTTGGTTCAATCGCCTACTACCCCACCGATACCTTATGGCTCAACCATTTCGCCATCCCTGAATCCGCTCAAGGTGCACAAATGGGGTGCGAATTTCAATGGCCGTAGTGATCCCGTTACTTTTATTGAAAGACTGCAGGAAATTTGCGCTGCTCGAGGAATCGTAATCGACCGATTGCTGCCGCATATGCCCGAAATATTACAGGATGAAGCTTCGCTGTGGTTCCGGAACAACCGCTCCCACTGGAACAGCTGGACAGAATTTTTACAGGACTTCCGAAGCTTCTATTTTCCCTTAAACTATGCTGCCGACTTAGAAATTGAAATTAGCCGACGCCTACAGAAACCCAACGAGCCAAGTCACCCGTACATAACCGATCTACAAACACTGATCAGGAGGCATGGCAACATTAACCCTGACCAAGAGCTTCAATGGTTGTATCGCAATCTTTTACCTGAATATCGACAGCATATCCGGAAAACTGACATTACCGATGTGGTTTCGCTTTCCCGGGTTATCAGAGAAGTTGAGCTTCTGCTGACCGAACTGAGAACAACTCCATCTTCCTCTAGGAATCTGTATCAGACATCCGCCGGCATTTCTTTGGCCGATAATCCACATGGCAATCGGATAAACGAAGAACCACGCTATCAACGGAAAGAAGGGTCTCAACACCATCGGAGATATGAACGACCTCCACAACCGGGAAATTATCAGCCAAGAAACTCAACAAATGCTAACCCTGCTCCGAATGCCAGTATTTGCTGGAGGTGTGGGGAAACAGGTCATTTCCGAACAGAATGCCGAGGCAGAGCAAAGCTGTTCTGTTCCAAATGCGGGAAACAGGGCGTAATGACACGAGATTGCTGTCTTCGTTCGGAAAACTAGACCGGCACTGTTCCGCTCCGAGGTCAGAGCAGTACCGCCGAAACTACACCTCGAAGTTCACCCCGACACGCACTATATCTGATTGCCGACCTCATATTCTGATTTACTTCTACGATACACCTTTATCCGCTCTCGTAGACAGCGGAGCCGCAAATTCTTACATAGGGGATCTTGCCGCCGAGATTTGCCGCCAAAAACAAACTCCTAAAGTGACACCACCTGTCAGAAGTGCAAAAGTGGCCAATGGTAGCATAGTGGAGATAACCGTTGCATTCCAAATTCCGTTGCGATTTGGTAATGTTACGCTGACCGAGAAAGTTAGTTACTTTCCACGCCTTACTTCTGAAGTAGTTCTAGGAATGGACATTTTGGGGCAACACTCATTTCACCTGGATCTCCGCTCAAGTCTGGTGTATTTGGACAACGAACCACTAGAACACCCCAATTTGTGTAGCCCGATAGGCCAGATCGAACCGACCCCGAATCTAGAATTGACGGAATGTGAGGAACGGCGCCTGCAGGAATTTCTGGATCACGAACTACCGAAATTCGCTGAGATCAAAGCTACCACTCCATTAATCGAACATGCTATTAAATTGCTGAACCCAGAACCCATTAAACAAAGATACCGTCCGCAAAACCCCAAAATGCAGGAAATAATTACCAATGAGGTAGAAAAGATGTTAGAAGAAGGAATAATTGAACCTTCCACCAGTCCGTGGAGTTCACCAGTGGTCATTGTCCGTAAGAAAGATGGCAAATATCGTTTCTGTATTGACTTCCAGAAAGTCAATACCGTTTCCAAAAAGGATGCATACCCCCTGCCGTATATCAATGCCATTCTGGATAAACTCCGTCGGTCCCGTTACATTTCCAGCATCGATCTAAAACAAGGTTACTGGCAAGTACCGCTATCCGAGGACAGCAAACCAATAACCGCCTTTACAGTACCAGGATTAGGTTTATTTCAGTTCCGAGTTATGCCGTTTGGACTACATTCCGCACCGGCTACTTTTCAAAGATTGATGGACCGGATTATTGGACCCGAACTCGACCCCTATTGTTTCGCCTACCTGGATGACATCATCATCTTGGGGGAAACATTTGAAGAACATCTGTCCAACCTGAAAGAGGTATTTAACCGACTTCGCAATGCTAATTTGAAGTTAAATCCCGACAAATGTCAGTTTGGTCGAAAAACTCTGCGATATTTGGGACACCTAGTCACTTCCGAGGGAATCCGGACCGACCCTGAGAAAGTCGCGGCTATCCAACAATTACCAGCGCCAATTAATTTGCGAGGCTTGAGAAGATTTTTGGGAGTAGCTTCCTGGTACCGCCGTTTTGTCCAAAACTTCTCTGAAGTTGCCGCCCCACTCAACCGGCTGCTGCAGAAGGGAATGAAATGGGCCTGGACCGAAGTTCAACAAAACGCCTTCGAACAGTTGAAGACTTGCTTAACCGAAGCCCCAGTTCTGGCATGTCCAGATTTCACCAGGCCGTTTGTGTTACAGACGGATGCATCTGATAATGGGCTCGGCGCGGCGCTGATTCAACATGGACCGGACGGCGATCATGTTATCGCCTACGCAAGCAGGACGATCAACGGCAACGAACAGAAGTTTTCCGTGACGGAGAAAGAGTGTCTCGCTATTGTTTGGGGCATTGAAAAAATGAGACCCTATTTGGAGGGTTATCATTTTACCGTGGTGACCGACCACCAATCCCTACGATGGCTTCACTCCATTAAAAGTCCAGCCGGAAGATTAGCTAGGTGGAGCATGTATCTCCAACAGTTTGATTTCGAAATCAAATATCGTAAGGGAATTTTGAACCGAATAGCTGATGCGTTGTTCAGAGATCCCGTGGATACCGAAACTGAAACGTTGGACCTGACCCCTATTTTTGCCCTCGAAGAATTTACACCATGTTCTTGGTACCGATCGAAGAAATCCGCAGTAGAGAACAACCCTACCATTCTTCCCGACTACTGTATCAAAGATGGCCAGTTGTACCGACACTTCTGGGATATGTCTGATCTCACAGAAGATACCATGTCCGATCCTTGGAAATTATGTGTTCCAAAATCTGCCCGTAGATCCGTTCTGGAAGAGAATCACGATGTCCCCACGGCCGGTCACCTCGGAATTGCAAAGACTACCGCTCGCATTGCAAGAAGATACTACTGGCCTGGAATGTTTAGGGATGTCGCGCAATATGTCCGAAGTTGCTCGTCCTGTCAGCGGTTCAAGACATCACAGCAAGTCACCCCAGGCAAAATGCATCCCTCAAAGAACGAGAAACCATGGGAAACCGTCAGTACCGACCTAGTTGGTCCGTTGCCTCGTTCTGCTAAAGGAAACTGCTACATTGTTGTATTCCAGGACCAGTTTACGAAATGGACACAATGACGAGCTATTCGGACAGCTACATCAAAAGCGGTATGCATGGCGTTTTACGAGGATATTGTTACCAAGTTTGGGTGCCCACAAACCGTAATTTCCGATAACGGGGCGCAATTCACCGGACAAGCTTTCAGAGACCTGTTGAAAGATATGGGTATAAATCATCGGTTGACACCACCCTATACCCCGCAGGCCAATCCAGTAGAACGCACCAACAAGACCATAAAGACAATGGTTGCCCAATTCTGTGAATCCGATCATAGAAAGTGGGATGTGCATTTGCCCGACTTGGTATTCGCTATTAACAGTTCCCGACACGACTCGACCGGATTCTCGCCCGCATTCTTGAATTTTGGACGTGAATTGGATCCACCGAAGCCTTTATACAGATATGTCCAAACTCCCCAGTCCGATACGGTTGATGATGAGCCTGACCCCGACGAACTGCGTAATTATTCCGATAGACTCCAGAAACTCAAAGAAGTCTATGAGTTGGTTCGTCTTAACCTGAGTCGCGCATTTACTACTCAGAGTCGCTATTATAATTTGCGCCGCCGGGAATGGAGATGCCATGTCGGCGATAAAGTTCTCAGACGCGAAAACCCATTGTCCTCCGCGATTAAAGGATTTGCGGCCAAACTAGCGCCCAAATATTCTGGTCCTTATACCGTGACCAAAGTCGTGTCCCCGGTAGTGTACGATTTAAAGAGTTCTTCCGGGAAAATACTCCGGCATATCCATGTCAAAGATCTTAAACCGGTTCCCCGCGGAGGTTAACCATTTTTAAATTTTTTTTAGCATGCCGAAAAGTTCACCATCCGATGCACCACCCCGTGGTACTGCACCCCCATCAGACCTGATAAAAGTTAGGGCGGCGGCAGCCTCGGCTCGAGCCAGACAGACCCTTCGAATGACCAAGGTGAAGCGAGCGGTACAATTGTACCAGCACCAATTCCGGAATCCAAAACCTTCCCCGGATACGGTCTCCGAAGTTTTCTTTCGTGTCCCGACCCGGCCGGCAAAAAGAGGGATTCCTAGGAAACCGGCGACCGTGACTGCCCACACATCTACTCCTATGTTAAACGAGGCTCCGTCTCCAGCAAAGATGACTACCATGCCCGAGGGTCTTTTTGTGGCTCCAATGCCTCCGCCACCCACTACCCTTGGCACCTCTACTGACGCCGATGCTGCTCCACTAGCACGACAGATTTTCTTACGCCCCCCGATCCCAGCTATTTTTCCACCACCCAATTTCTTGCGCCGTATGGCACCCAAGGACAGCTATGCCACCGCCGCCGCCGATGAGCTCCTCGGACTCACGGAAGTTGGATCCGATGAAACCATGCAAGACATATTTAGGTCTTTGGAAGAGTTAGTGAGCCAGGTCGAGCCAATACAGCCTCCTGTCCATAATAGCACTAATCTTGTCGCCGCTGACACCGCTCCACCTATCGTCCCTCACGTCGAACCGGCACCCGACGAAACCTATGCGACCGGAGTCGCTATTGCGCAAGCCCTCCTCAAGTACAAAGGGCAGACCAAGCCGAAAGCCCTTTGTCAGGCTTTGGCCAAGTTCCGTCCGGCCCACATACCAGCTCATCACCGGTACCGGACTAAATTCAAGGATGCCAATGGAACTTTTGTATATACGAACATTCCCCATAACTTTTAAAACTGTTATCACCGGATTTTTTTTTGTTTTGTTGGGGGGTTGTTTTTTTTTTGGGCTACTGTGACACATGATCTAGTTTCGGGTTAGGTTATGATTGTGACGATAAATAGATGTTGGGTGCTCTTGAGTTGATCCAATGCGTGTTTCCTTTCCCTTTGCCTGTGTTGATTTTTTTTTATCCTGATAACAGCTTTCGATTTTTTTTTAGACGCTTCATGATGACTAGTAGTTCCCGAGTGTCGAAGAGCCCAACCCTCGAACTGTACATCGTCGAGGAGGACTTGGAGGAGGCACTCCAAGACTTCGAAGTTGTGCAACCCGACTCACCGCTGCTTTCCAGTGAAAGCAAACGGGACCCGAAGACGAAACCGGATACGCCAGACACCCGCTCTGAACCCTCCTGCTCCGAGCACCCGCAATCTAGACCTACTCCAGCTTCAGCGTCTGCAAACACTTGCTCTGAATCCTCTGGCTCCGAGCAGGCGTCCGATAGACCTACTCCAGCTTCAGCGTCCGCAAACACCCGCGCTGCATCCTCTTGCTCCAAACACACGTCCGAGGAACCGACTCGAGCTTCAACGTCCGCGAACACCCGCTCTGAGCTCGTACACTCCCCGCACTCCTGCGTCAAGTCGGAACTCACACTTACCAAAACCAGACGCTCGGAACCCAGCAGCATCATATTTTTACCAGTCCATCGGGATCTGTGCTGGAGGTGTGGGCTTCCGGGACACCGACGTGACGCCTGCAGTCAACGGCCGCGCATGTTTTGTTCACGATGCGGCAGGGTCGGGCTACTGTCCAGAGACTGCCATTGTCAGAAGAAGGAAGTACCTGCCCGGGAACATCTCCCGGTCCGTGAATCCCGCTCTCCCCACCAAAACCGTATGGTTTCCGTAGGTACACAATGCTGCGTACATCACAGGCCGTGTCCAGCCTGTGGCTGCCCCTACGGCCGTAGGTACTAAGTAGGGCTCCATCGAGAAGTCGGAAGGGATTAGGCCGACGTCCGGAGTTCCTCCAGAGAGATTTTCTTTTATTTATTTTTTTTTTTTTTTTTTTTTTTGGTGTTATTTTCAATTTATTTAATTTATTTTGGTTTATAATTATTCTGGGTCTGACAGAGAGAGAGAGAGAGAGAGAGAGAGAGAGAGAGAGAGAGAGAGAGAGAGAGAGAGAGAGAGAGAGAGAGAGAGAGAATTGTAATTTTTTTTTTACTTTAGGTTCCGGGATGGGCTAGCTGCCACTGAATTTGGGGCTAGCAAAATATTTGAGTTAAAATATTTTTTTTTTAAAGAAAGGGGGGTGTGTAACGAAGTTACAGTATTTTTCGTTAATTAAGGGCACCTCTCGCCTCGATTAAATTTAAATATAAACTGCGTGCCTTAATTTTCTATATTCAGCGCGGTATTAATTAAAATCTTCTTCATATTATATTTAAATATTAAATAAATCATCGTGATAACGCGTGACCTTGCCTGGAATCTACCGAAACCCAGCAGAGTTTCAACCAATATCAGCTAATTTGCATATTTCCCTGTACCCCGCCGCGGCCCTGACCCATCTTTTCGTCTATAAAATAGGCCCGATTTGCTGATAAAGGGACAGTCGTCTTGAACCAAGTTTCGCCAGCTAGCCGACCTGCAGTAATCACCAGAACCACCCAAGGTAAGCATATACTGGAGCCGGCCGTAACCACAGTAGGGTCAGTTCTTGCAGGACCGCGAATCACACCAAAAGGTCAAAAACAAACAAATATATAAGCTTCATTAAGATTTTCTCCCGGTACCTTGGACGGGTAAATCTATTGCTGCGATAAGAGCTTCTCCCGGTACCTTGGACGGGTAGCTCTTGCGGGTCTCGCCTGGAACCTTGCACGGCTGATCCGTATGAGAGATTTTCACCTGGAATCAAGGACAGGTATTTCTCTCCGAAGCTTATATATTGTCTGATCCGTTAACAATTACGATTCAAGAACTGATGCTTGCGTGGTTTCGGCTGGGTTCCGAACATTTGCTTGGGTAACCGGAGTTTGTTTTTCCCGCTTGATTGCTTTGACTGTTATCATTAGCTCTACCAGGACTCTTAGAGTCACCGTAAGACTGATCGTTTCATTTTTATTATCATTTGACTTTTCCGGACACGCTTTTCCCCGCTCGCTTGGTCACGCAACTGCCGCACGCACACCATTTTCACTCATTTAATTTTCTCTCTCTCCCGCATCCCCGTTTATTCTTTCATCACGGTAATTTAGGGTTTTTCCTGTAAATATTTATTTGTTTTATTTTTGCAGTAATACAGGGTGTTATATTTTGTTAAAATTTTACTTTTATTTTACTACCCTTTCCCCCCGAACCCTTCTGGAAATTTTTCAGGAAATAGGCTTTGCAGGACGTTTTAGGTAATTCTCGACTGTCAGCATCTATTGTGACCCCTGGGTTACCGTTTTCTCCACTAGCAAGCTACCTGGTGCACGTGGGCCCTCAACCACTTTAATCCTGAGGGTGGCGCCCGAGGCAAATCCGCCGACTATTCCCTTGACTGGGAAATCACCACGATTACATAAAGAAAGCGCTTTACAGTGGTTATCAGATCTCTACTGACGAACCAACCCCAGCGAACCTCTACGAAGAAGTCCAACTACCAGAATCAACACCAACTAGGATGACGAGGTCAAAAACAAAAATTTTAAAAATTTAACTTTTATTTATATCCACTAACCCTTTTTATTAAATTTAAGTATGTAATTATTATGATACCAGGTTATTAGCTATAAGACTTCGACTTTAAATCATTACCTTTTATTTCATGTTTTCATACACAATAATTCTAACACAAAGAAAACACAGACTCACGAAAAATCAAAATTTTATTGAACTGTTACATTTAACATCAGTTGTTCACAGCTGAACTGTCTGGAAGAAGTCCACTGGGACCTCCACAAAAGACCCCAATACAGCGCTCCACACGACCACCCTCATCACCAAGAGCGGTGCCGTGAATTGGCACACCCCGCAAAACCTCGGGGAAGGATTGAAGTTCCCTCCTGTTAACAGTCCTTGTGGCACCCATCCGTGCGCCACCTGTTTGAAAAAAAAAAAAATATAAATAAAATAACGTAAAAACGTTGCACTTCAACTTACCTGCCTAAGTTGGAACATCGACAACTGAGAGTAGAAAGCCTCTCCCTGGATTCTGCAATCCAAACATTCGTACAACACCTTACACGCACTGTTCATTTTTTTGTTCTTTCTTTCCAGAAGTTAAAATAGAAATGAAGAAAAAAAAAACTCATCTTCCCATCAAATCTTAACTATTCTCCTTCTTTTTGGAAAAGGTCAGGTCAACACCATAAATAATAATATTAGGACTCATTTAGTTTTAATTTACTTACTCTGTTCGAAATCCTTATCATAGACTTTCACACTTCATTTAATTTAACTAACCAATAAATTATATTTATAGATTAGTCTTAACACTTATTGCTACTGTGTTTTCTAAAGGCATTAAACCTCTAGCAAAACACTTAAGGGGGATGGATTGTTATACCCCTACATAACTACCTTTATATTGTTAACATCTTATATTATTAAGTCTATATTTAATCATTCTTGTATTTTTCCATATCCTGTTTCGAAATCTATTAATTATTGTAATTTGCGTCATTCAACTATTGATAACGATAATAATCTAGGTCAAACATCTGCTATCTTTACGAAATCTTATCAGGTCCAGGAGGCTAGCGCGTGATCAGTTTTAACGCATTTTCCTTTGTTCCTAATGACGCAGGTTGACAATATAAATTGCTTCTTTTGCATTCAGAAGCGTTCACTCATTAGACTAACAACCCAGCTTACAGTTCTCTCCATTTACGTATACTTTGTTATTTTTGTCAATAAGTTTAATTAATTTAAATAAATAAATCCAAAGTTAGTTCTCCAAGCGTTTTTACTTGACCAAAATACATTGTATTCCGAGGATCCCAACAAACCCTCTTGATACCACTCTGGCAGAACCACGTTGAGTTCTACGTTAGACAGATAAAACATGGATAGGACTTCCATAAGACTCACTTACCATAACATAGTCTATCTACAGTGAGACCAAACCTGTAGATAATCTCCCTTCAGGAACTTCTGGATTTACACATACATATGAAGAAAACTAACACTTGTATACATGTAAGTTACACCTTTTACTACTTAGGCAAATCCTATATAAACCACTTGATACTGAGTTACGTTCGGTAAGTACCCCTTAATTAAAATTCTAGAATTTTACCCTGAGGTTGCCCAAACAATAACTTTCACCTTTCTGTGTTTAATTTGCCTGTTGGTAAAGTGTAACCCATACTGTATTTTTCTTATCACTCACAAGTGTAAATACCAAAAAGTTTTTAGTCATGTTTACTTGAAATTCATATTTATATATGCATTATTTACATTCATATTTTTTTATAATCAAATATTTCTATACACATTTTTAACAACGTCCTGGCTATCCCTTTTTATTATTGTTATTATTTTTTAATAAAGAAAGCCAGATACATTATTGTACCTAATTAGTTGTTTTATTGCTAAGCTCTCCAATTGTACAGGTTTTGTTTATGACATCATTAAGTAATCTTCCTAGTTAAGTCACAATTAACTTGGTGGCGCCCAAAGGTAAGATGTATACAAGGAATCCATAAACCCATGGCCTCCGAACTGATGCTGACTAGCCGTATGCAGTATAATCAGGCAATTGCCAAATAAGTACCTTATATTGAGATAAGGACTTTATGGTAGATAGCAATAACCCAGAAGCAGATATTGTATCCAACCCATAATCCGTTGACCCCCGCCAAAAATTAGCAAAAAAAATCTAGGCAACACGAAAAAAAAAAGATATTCAAAGTGTATAGTAGTGTCTCCAAGTAACTGGCTTTTCAAAAAAAAACTGATGTGCTCAAAACCATCAGCTTACAAAATGGCACAGCTCTGCAACGATGACAACAACCA